CAGAGAATGGGTACAACTGAAAAATACAAAAACAGTAGTAAAGGCCTGGTATTTTAAGATATGGAAGTAAAAGTCAAATGAATCAGCTAAAGGTGTGGAAAGTGGTTGCCTCTGGGAAGGCAGAAATTCATATGAGACAGAGAGGACTACTTTTCATGAGAGAGAAATCTTGTACAAATATTTCACTTTTCAAAATAGGGACAATCATAACTGATAAAAATAAAACACTGAATGAGTATGAAAGTGTTATCCTTAATGAAGATTGAGTACAACCAATGACATCTGAAGTCTGAATAAATGCAAGAATGCTTCAGTGATTAACACGCCTGTACGAATGTGTGAACGACATCAATCCTCACATTAATTCCAGGCTTCCTCCTCTCTGCAGTCAGTTTGGGAGGGGTCCTCTCAGACTGTACCCTCATTGCCTTATGTGGGTGGGACTAAGGTTGCCCTGGCCAAGAAGTCTCACCCCTCCTTGTGTCCCAGACCAGGGTGGGGGAATACCTCAGCTTCCTCTCCCTTGCCCAACTCACTGTGCTGATGGAGGGAGACATCATGATACTTGATTTACTTACTGTCTTGGTTCTCTAGTGCTGCTATAACAGAAGTACCACAAGTGAATGGCTTTAACAAATAGAAATTTATTTTGTCACTGTTTAGGAGGCCAGCAGTCTGAATTCAGAGTGTCAACTCTAGGGGCTGGGTGAAGGCCCCTTGACCTTGGGCTTCAGTTCTGCCTCTTGTTCCAGGCCCATTGGAGCTGGAGGAATCTCCTAACTCAGGCAGCTTCTGGCTGCTGAGGATGCAAACCCAAGGTGGGCAATTAAAATGCCACAATCACAATATCAGTAGGTCACACAGCAGGCCACCGGTTCAAGTCCAGGAACTGGAGATGAAAACTCGGCCAAATGCAGGATCCAGATGTACCTAAAAGCTAGACCTTTCTCAAAGCTTCTCCTTATTTATTGGAAGCAGTCCACACCCCAAAGGCAACTCCCCTTCCACTGATTAATGTCTCACAGCAGATACCACCATGGAAATGATTACAATCTCATCATGGGGAATAACTACATCCAGTTGCCAAGCCACGCAAAACTACAGCCCAGTCAAGTTGACACACAATCTTAACTACCACATTTACCCACAGTCTGTTTCATTTATTCTATCTTGCACTAATTCAGCCCACACCTCCCTAGCCATTTTCAGTCACTTCGCCCCAGAAACACAGTGACTCTATTTTTCATAAACAAGACACATTTTCTCACCTGATAGCATACATTACCTCTGCTGTATCATATGAGGGTTCCAATTCTTCAGGGATTTTTCTTTCCCCCACCCCCAGGGTCCCCCCAAAAAACCAATCTCACTGCCATCGAGTCAACTCCAACTCATAGTGACAGCCTTTGGGTTTCTGAGGCGGTACTTTATAGAAGTAGATCACCCAGTCTTCCTTCCACGGAGTGGCTGGTGAGTTTGAACCACTAACCTGGTTAGCAGTCAAATGCCTTAGGCACTACACCATCAGTTCCACTATTTTGGCCCTGAGTGTTCCGTTCTATCCTATCCCAACCCTTTCTGCTTTGCAGTGATTCTGTCAGTCAAGGAGAAGCGGAATTTCTCAGTGCTGGGTCAAGGAATTGAGACACACCTCTTCTCCCCAAATGTCATGTTCTGTCCCCTGCCAGTTATAGAAAATAAAATACAGAACTAGATATTTACTTATTTATTTAAAGAACATTTAAATATCCATAACACAAAACCACATTAAAAAAAAAAAAAAAAGCCACTGCCATTGGGTTGATTACTACTCATAGCAACCCTGTAGGACAGGGTAGAATTGCCCCATGAGGTTTCCAAGGCTATAAATCTTTACAGAAGCAACTACTTTTTCTCCCATGGAACAGCTGTGGGTTTGAACCACGAACCTTTTTCTTAGCAGCCAAATGCCTTAATCACCCTGCCACCATGTTGTTGTTGTTATGTTCCGTCAAGTTGACCCAACTCATAGTGACCCCTCCTTGGGTTTCCAAGGCAATATCACTACAGAAGTAGATTGCCCCATCTTACTTCCGAGGAGTGGCTAGTGGGTTTGAACCACCAGCCTTCTGGTTAGCAATCAAGTGCCTTAGGCACTACGCTACCAGAGCTCCTCCATGCCACCATAGCTCCACTAAAATCACATGTTGTTGTTGCTGTTATGTGCTGTCAAGTCGGCCCCGACTCATATATGAGCGACCCCTCCTTGGGCTGCCAAGACAAAAATCACATAGAGTCAGTATAAATGATGATGCATGAATGTATTAGTGAGTGACAGTCTTCAGGGTCCAGGACAGCCAATAAATGGTTATGCACAAGGAGATGTAACAAAGAGAAACTATGGACAAAAGTGTTAGATGATTAGCCCCCCCCCCCCAAAAAAAAAGAAAAAAAGTTTGGTGGCTCAAACTGACCCACAAACACCTCAGAATTCAGGGCTGGCAATCTGCTTCTTAAATGTCACAGACTTGAAAACTATGGAGCAGTTATAGTCTGCATACATGGGATCTCGGAGGTGCAGTGAATAACTGGGTATGGCTTTTCTACCCATAGTCTTTGTAACTCCCACGGGATTACTGAGTACGACCATAAAATAAGGTGTATAGAACTCTGATGTTGGGATTGGTTAGTTTGTCACTCTGCCAGGCTTAAAATGAGCCCTCCTAGAGGCAGAGAGCAGATCTCACTGCCATCAAGAGAGAAGAGCCAGAGGTAGAGTGGAGCATGTCCTTGGACCTGAGATCCCTGTGCTGGACCTCCTTGGCAGAGATGCCTGGCACAGACAGATGCCCGGCAGAGAGATGGTGGCAGTGGAACCAAGAGGCACGAGATAGAGCAGCAGGCTTACCTGGCCCATGGAGCAAGGAAGCTAAGTGCCCTTGGGCAGGAGGCTTGCTGACGGAGTAGGGTGCACCTAAGTGCACCTATTTGTACCTATCGGCAGAGCTAAAAGAGCTTTGTAGCATTTGCCCAAGCAGGGCAGAGGTCAGGCAGAGAGGCTAAGGGCCAGAGAGGTAAGGGTAGAGGGGAGACTGTCCTGATTGAAGAATTGTATCCTGAGAGCATTCCTGAACCTGAGTTGTAGCCTGTTACTTCCCTAATAAACCCCCATAATCGTGAGTATTGTCTGTGAGTTCTGTGGGGCCATTGCAACAAATCATTGAACCCAGCAGAGAAGTAGTAAGTTCTGTGGGAGGGACGGTTGGTATCAGAATAGGCAAAAAAGGTTGAAGGGTGGTAGCATCCATGCCTTTTTGCAGTCTCCATGACTCAGAATAGATTTTATGGCAACTAACAATGATAAGTTATGATAATAATCATCAGTCTATGCTTGCCCAGGGTGAACCAGTGCACTCAGGAGCTGGGGAGGACTGAGACCAGCTGTGTGGCATCACTGCTCCATCCAAGCCTTGTAGAATCACTTGCTCTGGAGACAGAGGGAAAAGAAAACCATCAAGACGAACCAGTGAGTGTTCAATATTTGCAAAAAGCTGCTCTCTAATCCCTCAGGGCATCTCCTCAGTCTCTCCAAAAATGGATTCTACCTTGTCCTCAGGGAAGATGACATACCCATTTTCTTCTGCCTTTCACCCCACCCCCCCACCCCTGTTTCTCAGCCTTTGCTAATCTCCTTGCAGCACTACAACAACATTGTCACTTGTCCTTGCTTGTCACCCACCATGCTAGGGAGTAAAAAGATGGCAGGACTAAAGAACTAGACTCAGGAGCAGAAATCCAGTGCCCTCCCTCCTCTTGAGCACCAATCCATGCCCTGATAGAATGAGAGGCCTCCCCAAGATGAAGTCTCCAACTCCTTATCCTTCTTGGCCTACACATGAGTCACATATAGTTCCTTCTCTCCCTTCATTCTCCACCCTCTTCACCTCCCATGCAGTCGATGATACACATGAGTGTCTATCCTGGCTCCATTGGTCCTGCTTTGGCACAGATACTGACCTCCACCTGCAGCTTAATGCCACTCCACCCCTACCCCACTGCACTCTGAGCCAGCAGCTCCTAGCTGCAAAGTTCAGGGTGACCAGTGGCCCATTTAGGAAAACATGGTCACCACAGGGTTTGCATCTGCCCTGACAGAGGGGTACACCCTGTTCATTGAGACTCTGCCTTCCCCTAACCCTCTGCGTCCACCATGCTCTCAAGCTGCACTCAAGCCTTCCTTGCTATTGACGTGTTCACTCAGCCCCTGGAAACACAGCCACCCCTGTATTTAAGGGGATGGAGGCAGATAGAGACCACAGTCATCATATCTCATCCTTATGCCTCTAAGAATTAACCACCTTTTGCCCTGACAGATTATAAACTCTTGCACTATTTATTCCCTGTGATTCCACAATCATCCAGGGCCTTGTCAGTCAACTCATGATTCCTCACACACCCATTTGGACCAGTTCTGGGAGCCTGAGAGATGAGGAGAAGAGCACACAAGGGAGCTCAGGCTCCTCATTCAGAAGCCCCTCACCCAGGTAGCAAGAGGCCCAGGCTGGACATTTGAGGACCCTGACCTGATCCTGGCTATGAGCAGGACTGAGGGGTGTTGATGGGGATGCAGCTCCAAATTCCCCTCTCAAACACCCCAAATTTAATCTCCTATTACTCTTCCATGAGCGGGAGAAAGCATGTCCTCTCCACCTCTATCCATGCAGAAGGAGACGTTATGGGACCCCACTTCCTGGCAAAGCCCCTCCCACCCCCTTCACACCACACAGTTTCTCACCTGGGCTTTCCACATCTAATGTTTTCTTCTTTTTCTTACACCACCAAAAGATAAGAGCACTAATAGTAATGATGGCAGCAACAATAGTAAGGATGATTGGCCATGACGTCTTTTGTACAGACATCCCTCCTGAAAGGGAAACTTATTTTAACTGGGTCACTTAGACCTACAAGCCTTCTATCCTTTCCCCCACCCTGGCCTCTAACTACCAGGGTTAGGGTCCCCTCTAATATGGCCTGTACTCACCAAAGGCTTCAGGGTATGTATAGTTCTTCCCACTGTGTTCCACGTGGCAGCTGTACCTCTGCTCCTCTCTTTGGGGAACCTTTATGGACACCCAGGTTTGATAGGTTCCATTCACATGAGGCACAATACATCCATGGTACTGGGAGTCCTGGGCCAGTGGTCCCCCATCCTGAAGCCAGGTCAGTGAGATTTTCCAGGGATAGAAGCCAAAAATCCTGCAGAGCAGCATAACGTTGCCTTCCACAACCTCTCTGCGGGTTATATTCACTGCTGGGGGTACTGGGAGAGGAGAGGCCATAACCAGTGAGGCACATGGCCAAGCCCTGCTCCCAAGTCTAAGGGAGACTAAACAGAAGCTGGTCCTCTCCATTTTCCCTGCTCAGACCTGAAGATACATTCACCCACCAGCCCTCAGGCTCCATGCTGGTCACTAGTCTATTTGGAACTCCAGGACCCCAGTTCCTCAGTCTGGCAGGAGGAGGGGGCCTTGGGTTATAGACTTACTCTCTGGTACATCTATATGTCGTTACTGGGGAGGGGAGGTTGGTTAAGGGGTGACTAAGCAGAAACACCAGGCTAAGTCAGGCTGGGAGCCAGATGGGGAAGGCCCATGGCTCAGGCCCCATGGAAAAATGGTACACTCTCCAGCATAACAACCACCTTCCCAGCTTCAGTTTTCTGTCTGAGGGCCTCCTGCTTTCCTGGATATTGACACTAGACATTGCCCACCCACCTGTGTGTCTTTACTAGTGGCTTTCAAAGGATGGACAACTCAGAATACAATATGCCAAGGGAACATATATGGGTCCCATAAGACAGGGAACATTTCCCTCAGGAAATGCAGATTGAGGGGGACCAGGGGATAGCAAGGGAGATGAAGGCTTTGCCCTAGGGTCAATCAGTACCTGTTTGGCTCTTGACACTTGTCGAGGATTTTAGATATTTCTGTAATTTTCCACAAATATCTCCTTGCACACGGTGCTTGTACTCCTTGTGTTTATCCCTATCTGTGTCCCAGGTGTTCTTGATTTCCAGTGCCAAGGGCTGGGCAAAGGACTGGAGAACCATCCATCTCTGGGTCTCCAAGTGATAGGAGAGGAAGGGCTCCCCATCATAGAAGAAATACCAGAAGCCCCTGGCCAAGTTGTTTTCCTGGATCTCACAGCCCAGCATCTCCTGGAAGGAATGCAAGCCTGCCCCCAGCCAGAAGTCACTTCTCCATCCTTGGGTCCCTTTACCTCCCCCACCTATGGTGAGAAACTCTAGTCCAGAGGGTCCCTCCTGACTTCCCTCCATCTCACCTAGTGCTGGCTAAGAATTGGCTTACTACACAGTTGAATTCCATAAACCCCCATCCCTGTCCCCTGCATCCCCTGCCAAATCTGGTAGAGACAGTTGTCCACCTCTCTCTCCCTGTGTCAAAGATCTTGCACCCCCATGGCTCCTTCCCACTCTTACCTTCTTGCTGGTCCTGAAGGGCCATGATTTCTGCCAGAGTCCTTCTGAGCTCCATCCCTATGTCTGTCAAGTCAATGGTCTCTGTGTCCCAGGTCTTATTTCTCAGGTCTGCATCTGCCCATGGCCCCTGGGGCTGTGCCTTGCCTTTCTCACTATCAAAGTGCAGAAAGGGCTTTGCATCTAAATATCCCTCAGCAAGGAATTGTGGTTGCACAGATCCACCCAGGGAGATCACAGTGACATCATAACGAAGATTGTGGAGTCCTGGGAGAGGAGGAAGCCACAGATGAGACTTCTTCCTAGAAATAACTGCATATCAAACATTTAATACCTGGTTCTGCTGTGCTGACTCCCTAAAGACAGGAGTGATACAGGTATGTTCCTGTGGAGGCAGGGAGGGGACAGGTCACACCCACAAGAGGGGTAGGGTAGAGAACCATCTGGGGGAAGGGGCAGTTCTGGGAGAAGGCGCATTAAGGCAAAGGCCCATTACAGCAAAGACCATTACAGTGAAAGGCCAGAGCTCATTGAGTGGGAAAAGCAAGGATTTAGGCCAGTGGTGTGAGGCAAAGAAAGCCTGGTAGGGTCAGGAAAGCAAGAGGGGTGAGTGAAGAACAAGGAGCTGAGCACTTGGATCAAGAATATTGTGGGGCCTGGGGGAGAGGTAGGAGAGTAAGAGGAACAGGGGACATGATGGTAGGGGCATGGGGCAGGGATGCACTTGGGTTATAGTGAGATAGAAGAGGTAGTGAGGGCCTATATAGGAGCAGGGGCAATTGCAAGAGTCCCAGGGAAGGGAGGTTGTGAAAGATCTCAGTCCTGTAGGTGGCAAGGTCCCAGAGGTGGAGGGAGAGTTGCAGACACTTTGGAGGAAGGGAGCCTAGTACCTTAGGGGTGAAGGATTAGGTTTGGGATGAAGGCTTATGGAAGAGATGCACTGGACCAAAGCCAGGTGGGGGAGGACCCAGAGCAGACACATGCACTGAAGGGGGGTGGGTACTGAGAAATGGGGTGAGGTCTATGGACTGGGAGCTGCATACTGTTCTTAAGGCCCAATGATTGTTAGTTCAGGGCTCCTCCCAGTGAGGGCTCAAGTGAAGTGGGGGTGGAGAGAAGACTTGGTGGGCAGAAGGCAACATAAGAAAGTTAGGGTTACAGAAGATGGTGGAATAGGCAGGCAAGTTACACAAACCCTCTTCACAAAGAAAAGAGAAACCAAATGAGACAGATACAGAAGATAATCCTGGAGCCCTCAGCTTTGAAAGGAAGGATATAGAAGTGGATTAAACACTAACCAGTAGAAGAACTTGAGTGAAAACAGTGAATAAAGAGACAAACAGATCTGTGGACTGCCAGCTATTCTGACAGCACGGACAGCCCAAATATTTCCAAGTGGTGTTAGGACCTGAGAATTAATCTAAAAATCAGCCCTGCTCACCAAGGGCTGCATGGATGACTGTGCTGGTGGCTGATGATTGAAAAGGGAAACAGCATAGAAGGAGACAAACTGAGCTGTGGACTTTCAGCTATCTGGAGGGCACAGCCATTTTTGAATGTTTACAAGCAGTGGTCATTTTGGATATCTAATGTGACAGCATTCTCATTCAGATTCTAGGGACCTAAGAATATCTCCACTTGCCAAGGACAGCATGGATATATGGAAGGCTGACAACTGGAGAGGAGATAGGCGGTGAGTGCATAACTAATGAATAGAGGAGCTGCCAACTAGTGAATAGAGGAGCACAGTACCCTGCTGACTCAGATAACATCCAAACAAAACAAAGAAAATTAAAATCTTGGGTGAATCATTCCAAAATACAATCACCAATTAAATATAAACATAAAAACATCACAATGTCTTGGAGACAACAGACCATCACAGTCCACACAAAGAAGCAAAATAAAGCAGTAGAAACAGGGACCAGGATATAGACCCAGAACACATCCATGAGGAAAAAGCAGCATTGAACTCCCTGATAAGGTATTCAAACAAATTACATTTATGTACCTTCAACAGATTGAGAAACAGATCAAGGAAAACACTGATAAAATTGAGGAAAACACAGACAAAAACCTAGAATAATTTTGGAAGACAATATAAGAACAAAATGACAAAATAAATGAAAAATTAGAAATGATACAAAATCTACAGATAGAAATCTGGAAGATTAATACTAAATTCTCAGAAATAGATAACACATTGAATGGGCAAAGGAATAGAATTGAGTCAATGGGAAACAGAATTAGTGAGATTGAAAACAAATACCTCAATACTTCTTTGGAAAGGGATCAATCAGAAAACAGATCAAAACAAAATGAAGAAAGCCTAAGGTATGGATAGATAGGTGGACAAGATAAACAATTATGTCTATGAAATGGGGAGTGTATCCAAGATTATATATATATATAGTGGGCAGACAATGGTCCTATAAGTTTATATGAATGATCAGAATTCCCAGGTGTATAGTAGAGATCACAAGAGGCAAGGTTATGGTCACTGTTTGGTCACAGCCAGCTACCCAGAGGGACCGACTAGTTGAACCTGCGGGCTTGGGACCATAGTTGCAGGGGACATCAAGCTCAATTGGCATAACATACTATATAAAACATTGTTCCACCTCCTACTTTGGCGAGTAGCGACTGGGATCTTAAAAGCTAGCAAGCTGCCATCTAGATGCAACGATGGGCCTCTCCTCATCAAGAGCAAAGAAGAAAGAAGAAAACCAAAATTAATGGAAACAATCAGTCCTAGTGACTGGTACACCATCCAATCTGCAACCTATACAACTATGAGACCAGAAGAACTAGATGGTGCCCGGCTACCACTGTCATCCACTTGGAAGGGATGTAGGAGATCCTGGATAGAGAGGGAGAACAATGTGGAACAAAATTCAAAATCATTTGGAGGGGAAAAAAAAAAAAAAGAAGGTGAGGACCAGGTTTTCTGCTCCAATAGAGCCTGGTGGAACTACTGAGACTATGGCCCCTAGCTGCCCTTCAGGTCTGGAATTGAACACACACCTGTGTTTGCCAGCCAAACAATGTACAGGCATGTGAGTTAAACATTTACCTCAAGTAGACACACACCCTAGAGAGAACAATCATGGGAGAAGGAAGGGCTGCTTATGCACAGGGAGACAGCTCAGGGAGCAGGAGAGTATGGAGGGATGGTCACTGGGAAGAGGTAACTATGGGGAGGAAGTGGGAGGGAAGCTGTTGCATTGTGGTAAACTGTGGTCAATGACATGAGACAAAGTATATGTGAACTGCTGTATGGAAAGTGAATTTGCTCTGTAAATCTTCACCCAAATAAAAATAAGTAAATTTTAAAAAAAGGGGGGGGGGAAAGAAAGCCTAAGGTTCATGTAGGATGCCATCAAAAGGAATAACTTATGTGTAGTCAGAATTCCAGAACAAAAAGAAACCAATAAAACCACTGAGAAAATTGTCAAAGATTTGTTGGAAGAGAAATTCCCTGATAAGATGAAAGATGAGAATATATTTATTCAAGAAGTCCAGTGAACACCAAACAGGACAGACCCAAAAAGAAAATCACCAAGACACATCATCACATCAAACTCACCAAAACCAAAGACTAGGAAAGAATCCTGAAAGCAGCATGGAAAAAAAAAAAAGTTACCTACAAAGGGCAACCAATAAGGCTAAGCTCTGATGTCTCGGCAGAAATCATGCAGGCGAGAAGGCAATGGGATGGTATATGTAAAACCCTGAAAAAAAAAAAAAAAAAATCCAACCAAGAATTGTATACCCAGCAAAACTGTCCCTCAAATATGATGGTGAAATCAGGACATTTCCAGATAAGCAGAAATTAAGGGAATTTGTTAAAAACCAGACTAACCTTACAAGAGATGCTAAAGGGAGCCCTTTGGACAGAGAACCAACAACAGCAAACAACAACTGACCATTAACACACATGATGATATAACCCAGAAACCAACCCAGTTATGGAAGTATCCAAAGTAAATAAGGTTACAAGATTGCAAGCAGGGAACTAGAGACATCAATTGACAAATGAGGACAACTGAAAACCAAAAAGAGGGAACAGAGCTACTAAATAGTGAGGAAGTCAAGACAATTGCAAGATCGAATGGACTGTTCTAAACTTGGGAAGAAAATTATAAATCACAAGGTAACCTCAAAGAAAAATGATAAACTTTCATATCAAAATAAAAAAAGAGGACAAATATTTAGCAAGTACTAAAACAATAGCAACAAAGGAAGTGCTAACATGAGTTATAAACAAAACAAGCTCAGCACAGAAAATTATATGGATCAAAGAAATCAGTAACACCATGAAAAAACACATAACAAAATGACAGCAACAAATTCATACTTGTCGATAATTACACTGAATGTCAATGGATTAAATGCACTACTTAAGAGATGGAGAGTTGCAGAATGGATAAGAAAACACAACCCATCAATATGCTGTCTACAAGAGACACACTTTAGAGACAAGACAAAAATACACTAGAAATCAAAACCTGGAAAAAGATATATGAAGCAAATGGCAACCATAAAAAAGCAGAAGTGGCAATATTAATTTCTGATAAAATTGACTTTAAGACAAAAACCACCAAGAGAGAAGGAAGGACATTATATAATGATTAAAGGATTGATTGAACAACAGGATGTAACAATAATAAATATGTATGCACCCAATGAAAGAGTCCCAAAATACATAAATCAGACTTTAACAGAATTGGAAAGACAAGTAGATGACCCCTCAGTCATAGTGGGAGACTTTAATATATGACTTTCAATCACAGACAGAACTGGAAAGAAATTCAACACAGACACAGAAGACCTAAACAATACAATCCACCAACTTGACCTCATAGACATCTACAGAGCACTTCACCCAACAACAGGACAATATAGATTCTTTTCCAGTGCACATGGAACATTCTCCAGGATTGAGATCATATGTTAGGCCACAAAACAAGCTTTAATAAATTTAAAAACATCTAAATACTGCAAAACATCTTCTCAGATTACAGTGCTATAAAAATAGAAATCAACAATAGGAAGATGCTAAAGGGGCAAGGAGGTGGCACCTTCTGACCTCTCACTACACAAGAGGAGGACAGAATCACCATCAGTAGCCCAAAGCCTACTCTTATGAAGCCAGACATGCCACCATCCTCCAGCCCTCTTACCAACCTTGACACTAACTGTCCCTATAGCAGCATCCACCAACTCTTTGCTGGATTCAATAATTCACTGCAGTGGCCACACAGAAC